GGCAGGGGGTCCTCCAGGACAGGTTTGGGAACCACTGCACTAGACGAAAGTCAATAAAATGCCATTAAATTCAGAGTGGGTTTTACAAAATATTCTGTAAGAGCAAAAGCGATGGGAACTGAAATGCTGCTGAGTTGGTACGGTGACAATAAATATCCATTACACAAAGCCGATGCACGTACTACTCAAATTACTGTCAAATGTATGTTAGCTGCTTAGTAAAAGCTGACAAACGGAGCCAAGTTTGTGTGGAGCTGTCCGTGGTCCTGAACCCATAACATACCCTTGGGTCCCCCAAAACTTACCAAACCTAATCTCAGGGAAACTCAACCACTGTTAAAGGAATAGTTCACCCAACAATGAAAATGTGCTTAACATTTACATAGATGATGAGTTTGTTTTTCATCTGAACAGATTTGTAGAAATGTAGCATTGCATCACTGGCTCAGCAATGGATGCTCTGCAGTGAATGGGTACCGTCAGAATGAGAGTCCAAACAGCTGATAAAAACATCACAATCATCCTCAAGTAATCCACACCACTCCAGTCCATCGGTTAATGTCTTGTGAAGCCAAAAGCTGCATGTTTGTATAAATAAATCCATCATTAAGAAATGTTTCACTTCAAACCATTGCGTCTAGCTAATATACAAGTCATCTCTCCACAATATTGCTTTCACCAGTGAAAAAGTCGCCTCGTTTGAATCAGGAGAGAAATATGCACCGATAAAGCACCATTTACAATGGTTCTAACCAAATATGTGGGTGGATTTTGATGTGCGAGGACCACAAGAGATGGACTTTACTGGAGGAAGCATTATTATGGATCATGGACTCGTATTTTGGCCAGAAGTGACAGTTTAAAGTTAAAATGCCTTAATGATGGATTTGTTTATTACAAATGCGCAGCTTTTGGCTTCACAGGATGTTAACTGATGAACTGGAACTGGTCCAACAACACAGAGTATGTCTTCTACCGTAAGTACAGTTTATTTCACAACAATATACAGCCAGTCGGTAATTATCGACAAATCGTGAAAGTGGTTTAGCCTATCGATTGTTGTCAGTCGTGAAATAGGCTACATAAACAATTATTGTTTGACTTTTGCAGTGTCGGTGCCGATAGGCTTATGGGCATCACATGTACATACAGCCCATATTGCGCTACAGGCGTCCCGAGTTCGAATCCCAACTCAGGGACAATTTTTATAATATTATTATCATAATAAAGGCAAAAACGGCAAAAATAAATATTATATAGATATATAGTTGGGATTCGAACTCGGGACGCCTGTAGCGCAATATGGGCTGTATGTAGAAGAAAATTTCAAAAGGCACTTAGAGGCTTATGCATCTGAATTCTTTATATGTGTACATATATATATATGAATTCAGATGCAAAAGCCTCTAAGTGCCTTTTGAAATTGTCTTCTAAGATAAGCATTTTTATCAGGCTCCTGTGTGTAGGTTCAGTAATTTCACTTTAATTTCACTTGAAGGGCAATGAATAGGTTCTTTTCTTTGCCATTAATGTAAAATAACTGAACATAAGCATAGGAGCCTGAGAAAAATGACAATTTTAGAAGAAACTTTTACACGGCACTTAGAGGCTTTTGCATCTGAATTCGATTCTCAACATTACCAATGTGTGGTTTTTACGCTTTTCTCAGACAGTACCACTAGGCGGCGCACTCTGATAGTTTGGTTAATTCTATTCAGATCAATTCTATAATCAGCCTCGAACTGAGAACGTGCTCATTAATGTAGGTGACAAATGCACTTCCTTTCAAGTATTAGCGGACTGAACTGAGTTTGTCTGCTCAGAACATCGATAAGAGAGAGAGAGAGAGTGAAAGGCTTTCGAGCCAATGCAGATGTGGAGAATTCCCTCAAGTATAGCTCTCAGGGATATGAACAGAGTGTGGTATGAATATTTCAGTAATCTACCACAGTGATGATCATGTCACTTCCTCCTCTCTCTCTCTCTCTCGCTCATTCAGTCTCTCTTTATTTAACTACATGTGCACCTTTTGGATATACAATTGTTCTCCAGCGCCTGCCTTCATTAGTGGTTCATTTGACTTGCCTTTGTCTTAAATAAGAGAGATGTTGCAGCATATGGCCAATTAAAAATCACTTTGTGCTTAATTCCAAACGAGTCCCCTTGGAAAACCTAAAAAGAGTGGGCCTGGAACGGAGAGCTTCTGGAGGACAGTCACGAGATTTGGGGCGAATGGACATATGGCTGCTTAATGATTTGTTTTCTGTCATCAGTATAATTACTGCAGCATTCAGCCCTTCCCGTTGCCCACACATAATGGAAAAACTTATGACACATCAAGATAAGGAGTCATGCTATACTGTAAGTCTACAAATACATCACAGTCGTGCTGATATTCAGACCAACAGCATGACGGCAAATGTGCTATTGGTTTAAACATCCTGTCAGTAATCGATGCATAGAATCAAGTCCCACCCTATATTTTTTATTTTTCAATTATATGTTACACTCGAATGCACATCACAATACGGAAGAAAAGATTTCTTGCCACTTCCATTTCATTGCAACATTGTTTTCTGGAACTTTGTATTTGTGTACATATATATATATGAATTCAGATGCAAAAGCCTCTAAGTGCCTTTTGAAATTGTCTTCTAAGATAAGCATTTTTATCAGGCTCCTGTGTGTAGGTTCAGTAATTTCACTTTAATTTCACTTGAAGGGCAATGAATAGGTTCTTTTCTTTGCCATTAATGTAAAATAACTGAACATAAGCATAGGAGCCTGAGAAAAATGACAATTTTAGAAGAAACTTTTACACGGCACTTAGAGGCTTTTGCATCTGAATTCGATTCTCAACATTACCAATGTGTGGTTTTTACGCTTTTCTCAGACAGTACCACTAGGCGGCGCACTCTGATAGTTTGGTTAATTCTATTCAGATCAATTCTATAATCAGCCTCGAACTGAGAACGTGCTCATTAATGTAGGTGACAAATGCACTTCCTTTCAAGTATTAGCGGACTGAACTGAGTTTGTCTGCTCAGAACATCGATAAGAGAGAGAGAGAGAGTGAAAGGCTTTCGAGCCAATGCAGATGTGGAGAATTCCCTCAAGTATAGCTCTCAGGGATATGAACAGAGTGTGGTATGAATATTTCAGTAATCTACCACAGTGATGATCATGTCACTTCCTCCTCTCTCTCTCTCTCTCTCGCTCATTCAATCTCTCTTTATTTAACGACATGTGCACCTTTTGGATATACAATTGTTCTCCAGCGCCTGCCTTCATTAGTGGTTCATTTGACTTGCCTTTGTCTTAAATGAGAGAGATGTTGCAGCATATGGCCAATTAAAAATCACTTTGTGCTTAATTCCAAACGAGTCCCCTTGGAAAACCTAAAAAGAGTGGGCCTGGAACGGAGAGCTTCTGGAGGACAGTCACGAGATTTGGGGCGAATGGACATAGCGGACTGAACTGAGTTTGTCTGCTCAGAACATCGATAAGAGAGAGAGAGAGAGAGAGTGAAAGGCTTTCGAGCCAATGCAGATGTGGAGAATTCCCTCAAGTATAGCTCTCAGGGATATGAACAGAGTGTGGTATGAATATTTCAGTAATCTACCACAGTGATGATCATGTCACTTCCTCCTCTCTCTCTCTCTCTCTCGCTCATTCAATCTCTCTTTATTTAACGACATGTGCACCTTTTGGATATACAATTGTTCTCCAGCGCCTGCCTTCATTAGTGGTTCATTTGACTTGCCTTTGTCTTAAATGAGAGAGATGTTGCAGCATATGGCCAATTAAAAATCACTTTGTGCTTAATTCCAAACGAGTCCCCTTGGAAAACCTAAAAAGAGTGGGCCTGGAACGGAGAGCTTCTGGAGGACAGTCACGAGATTTGGGGCGAATGGACATATGGCTGCTTAATGATTTGTTTTCTGTCATCAGTATAATTACTGCAGCATTCAGCCCTTCCCGTTGCCCACACATAATGGAAAAACTTATGACACATCAAGATAAGGAGTCATGCTATACTGTAAGTCTACAAATACATCACAGTCGTGCTGATATTCAGACCAACAGCATGACGGCAAATGTGCTATTGGTTTAAACATCCTGTCAGTAATCGATGCATAGAATCAAGTCCCACCCTATATTTTTTATTTTTCAATTATATGTTACACTCGAATGCACATCACAATACGGAAGAAAAGATTTCTTGCCACTTCCATTTCATTGCAACATTGTTTTCTGGAACTTTGTATTGACAAATTACAAGCCATAAACAGAGCTCTCCATTTTATAAAGTGTTTTATTAGGATGCCATTTGATCAACAGGCTCAAGTGTTCATACCTTTTAAGGAAATAAGATTGTTTATCATTGCTGAATTTTATAGAAGATGAGATATTTAACTTTGGCTTCTCACAATGGCTTCTAAAACAAATACAGAAATCACAAAGGCCTACATAAAATAAAAAAATCACCTAAAAATGACTTTGTCAGTGTTTCCTTTGACACCTTTTTCTTACTGATTGTGATATTTAAGCAAAAGCGGGGATTCACCATTTACTAGGGGTATCTTATTGTTTATGAAATTATCTTATTTTACTTGGTGCCCATAGATGAACAAAATACGAAAAACACTTTTTTCTAATTAGCTGTTACTTTTTATTAGGGTAAAATGGGACAATCTAGTAGTACACTTTTATTTAACATGAAGAGAGACCTGGCTTTAAATCCCAAACAATAGACCAAACAAATGAACTTGACAGCTATGATCATCATGAATTTTCATTGAAGTAGCTTTGACATTCTCTTCCATAGGAAAGAAAATCTAATGAGTTTGGAGAGACATGAGGATGTTAAAGCAAAAGATCTAAAGATGATGACTTTATTGGACTTAGACGTATGATCTCTACCACAGTGTTAGACAAGTATGCAAATTATAATATTTTTTTGCATTTAAAATTGCATTTAAAATCCACTTGGCTCAATCCGGGGAATGTGCATCTGCATCGAATGGGCTCGACACTTCTGCCACACCGGATAACAAGATAAAATTATAATGTAGTTATTTGCATTACACTTAATGGTTGAAATGCTATATTTCCACTTTACGCTGCACGGTTTGGTTTACACCATGAATCTTGAATCCCCTGGTGAAATGAACCAGTTGCTTTTTACAGGCCTCACTGCCTTCTCTTGTGCTGTTACTTCTCAGAACATCACTCACATGACACATTTTACCAATTTAGACCGCCCAAGAGATTGGTAATATATCATTTGCGGTCAAAGGGGTTGCTTATTTTTCTTTGTCGCTTACTTACTCATCCTCCTTTTTATGTGCTTCATCACGTAACATGCCTTCTCTGCCCATTCTTGGAGTTAGAAAATGTGCTGCAGGTTGTCCTCGACATTTTTTAACTGGTCAGTTTTGTCTCTGCATTAATTAATAGCTGTGATTAATGACCAAAGATTACAGCCACAGTGATTTCTACTTAGCAGAAAAACAAATTGCATGAGCATCATGCGATTCATAAAGGTCTCACACGTTTCATAGCTGCATTCAGACGGAACTCATTTACTGACTTCTTCCCCTTTTTATTTATTCCATTCCATTCCATTTTAATCTTAAAATCTTGACCTGATGTCAAGCAAAGCCTTATTTTAAATTCTCACACTGCACTTTGATGGTGAACAGCCCAAAATATGTAAAAATAAGACTTGTTTCTTTTCCTGAAAGTGAATACAATAAGAATAATTTATGAAATATTAATTTTAAAAGCTTTAGATTATCATTATCAGTAACAATGCCTCTTCAAATGGATGAGCCTTATTCTTTTGATCATTAAGGACCAAAACAGTACAGCTAATTATTTACATCACAAGCCAGCTTGAAAGTTTTTCAATTAAAAAGCTATTAGATGTTTCTTAAGGTCATGACTTCTCTGTTGCCCAAGAATACTGATGATC